TCCAAAAATTTCTTTTGTATCAGAATTAGGTGCTTTTTAGGTGCTCCTAAATAGTCAAAGAAAAAATAGAATTGATTAATTATTAAATGAGTTACAGATTTTTTTTTAATTATTAGGGGACTGCTGGCTTTACGTTTACATGTTGGAGTGTCAGAATGGCAAAAAAACTTCGGGATCTATATAATAATTAGGTGCTTTTTAGGTGCTAATTAGGGCCTCCAATTAAAAATTAGGTGCTCCTCTAGTTTTTGAGGAAATCAAAAAAAAACTTAGGGACTGTTAGGTTTATGAAAGCTAGAAGTCCCCTATAGTATTTTTTTTTGTATCAGAATGAATTGCTATTCAAGTGCTCCTAAATAGTCAAAGAAAAACTTGAATCAGTTAATTATTAACTGAATTACAGATTTTTTTCATTATTAGGAAATTGTCGGCTTCACTTTTACTTGGTGATGTGTGAGAATAGAAAAAAAATTTTGGGGTCTATACCTATAATAATAATAATTAGGTGCTTTTTAAGTGCTAATTAGGGCTAGTCGAGGGGCTAGTAGTTAAAAATTAGGTGGTCCTTTAGTTTTTGAGATAATCGAAAAAAAAAAAAAAAAAAAACAAAGGGACTGCTAGGTTAATGGAAACTAGAAGTCCCCAGTCCCCTAAAATAAAATAAAAAATTTCAAATTTTTCGTTTGTATCAAAATTAGGTGCTTTTTAGGTGCTCCTAAATAGTCGAAGAAAAAATTCAAGTGATTGATTATTAACTGAGTTACAGATTTTTTTTTTTATTAGGGAACTGCTGGCTTTATGTTTACTAAGAATGGAAAAAAACTTCGAAACCTTTATAATAATTAGGTGCTTTTTAGGTGCTTATCAGGGTCTCTAATCAAAAATTAGGTGGTCCTTTAGTTTTTGGGGAAATCAAAAAAAACTAAGAGACTGCTAGGTTTATGAAAGCTAGCTGTCCCCTATAATAAAAAATGTTTTTACAAATTTTTCTTTGTACCAGAATTAGGTGCTTTTTAGGTGGTCCTTAATAGTCGAAGAAAAAATAGAATTGATTAATTTTCAACTGAGTTACAGATTTTTTTTTAACTATTAGGGGACTGCTAGCTTTCATAAACCTAGCAGTCCCTTAGTTTTTTTTTTTTTGATTTTCTCGAAAACTAGAGGAGCATCGAATTTTTAATTAGAGGCTCTAATAAGCACTTAAAAAGCACAATTATTATATAGATTCCGAAGTTTTTTTGCCATTCAGACACACCAACAAGTGAACGTAAAACCAGCAGTCCCCTTATAATTAAGAAAAAATCTGTAACTCGGTTAATAATTAATCAATTCTATTTTTTCTTTGACTATTTAGGAGCACCTAAAAAGCACCTAATTCTTATACAAAAGAAAATTTTGGAAAAATATTTTTCACTATAGGGGACTACTAGCTTTCATAAACCTAGCAATCCCTTAGTTTTTTTTTGATTTTCTCAAAAACCAGAGGAGCACCTACTTTTTAATTAGAGGCCCTAAAAAGCACCTAATTATTATATAGATCCCGAAGTTTTTGCCCATTCTGACACACCAACATGTAAACGTAAAGCCAGCAGTCCCCTAATAATTAATCAATTCTATTTTTTCTTGGACTATTTAGGAGCACCCTCGGGAGCAGCTAAAAAGCACCTAATTCTAAAGCCTAGTACTCATAACTGCGAACACAGATTAACCCGTACTAAAGATAGGAAACTTCCATGTAAAATGTTTGTTCGGAGCTGTCTCGAAAATAACACGTGTGGAGCTTCATGACTACCAAAGCTATGCGGCGCTAGTATACAAAGCCACAAGCAAATGTCATTGTGATCTGTGAATGGTGATATAATTTGTCAATGTGTTTGTCGTGTTTGTCATCAGTTACAGTTAGCCGTTTCATCTGTTAGTGTTCTTTTATTTAATTTCCTATCAATTTTTTATAAAACGTTGACTTGTTAATATATTTTTAAAAAAAGAGACTTTATGTTACATTCAAATATAGTGGAAATGCTCGTGGAAATGGGATTAGTGATGGTTTTTATTCGCCATTGTTTGACATTCACATGAAGTGTGAATTGTGCACCAAATAAGACCAAAGTTTCTAAAAATATACCTTCATTTATAGAATGAGTATTACTGCAGTGGAAGTTTCTGAATCCAGGCCATCACCACTTTATCCTAAGAGACTTTGCTGAGTGTGGAATTAGTGAATTTTATTTGCAGTATTATAAACTTTTTTTTTTTCGATACGTTTTTCTATTATTGTTGTGTTTAAGGCTGTTCCAATAAAGAAGGAGATGGTACTGAAATGTTGTTGTTTTATTTCAAAAAAAATTACAGATAATAATAAAATAAAATCGATTAGGGACAAATTATTTGAAAGAAGGTGGGAACAACAACTCATTGTATGAGTAAGACAAGGATAGGGGAAAAGGCACGAGTTTCCTATCTTTAGGACGGGTTAATCTGTGACTGCGAAATTCGCATTTTTTTGACATTGCTTCGACAAAGTGACGTTTGATACACAAATACACAATACAAATTTTCAACGCAATGTCAAAAAAATACGAATTTCGCAGTTATGAGTACTAGGCTTTATACAAAGAAAAAAATTGAAAAAATATTTTTTTACTTTAGGGGACTGCTAGCTTTTATAAACCTAGAAGTCCCTTAGTTTTTTTGATTTTCTCAAAAACTAAAGGAGCACCTAATTTTTAATTAGAGGCCCTAATTAGCACCTAAAAAGCACCTAATTATTATATAGTTCCCGAAGTTTTTTTCCACCTTGGGACTGCTAGGTTTATAGGCCTCAACATGAGACCTGTCAAAGCAGAGGTGTTTTGCAGGTAAAAATATTTACAAATGACAAGTTTTCATATATAATATCACAAGAGAAAAAATTTTGTCGGCAAAATTTTCGAAAGGTATGAAAGTTTGTTGCTTGGCAATTTCGCAAATGACATTTTTGACAAAATCACGAGCCGTCAGGCGAGTGATTTTATCAAAAATGTCATGAGCGAAATTGCTGAAAAGCAACAAACTTGAATAAAACCTTGAGAACAATTTTGCCTACACAATTTTTTCTCGAGTGGTATTCGTCATGACTATTTCACGTAAGATTTTGAAAATAAATAGAATGCAAAATTATTAATAAAAACTTCAAATAAAAAATACCAGTTTGACAATGTCAAAAAATGGTCGCTGAAATACCATGTTGTTGGTATTGTCCAGGTAGCATTATTGTCAGGTGAATACCGAATTTATTGCTGGTGTAATACACTCTAGTGAAATAGTCACAACAATCACATTTAAAAAAAAAAATCAAGAAAAAAATCATGGATTTTTGATTCTTTTTTTAAATAAAAATTATGGTTTTTTTCAAATTCTGTTTCCTGATATACCTACAGGGGGATTGTAGTGTAGGTGAGATATAAGGAGAAATCATATTGGACTACAATCAATGAAGTAGAAAGAAGGTTTGGAATGGGCTTTGCATCATCCAATTGATTCCAGAATGAGATAGCTCTAGTAAGGGCAAAAAATCTATTGGATCTCCCATATCTCTCACTCTAACCCTGAATGAGATAGCGTTAGTAAAAGTAGGAAAATCTCATGGATCTCTCCAATCTCTCCTGTTCTCTCACTCTCATGGTGGCCACAAATATATGTATTGAGTAGATACACAGCCCAGATAGAACCTTCTAACTACTTCATTGACTACAATAGGTCTGTTTCTGGTAGTTTTCTGATTGTTTCTGACTATGACTGTTTTTAACGAATGAAATTCGCTCTGACTGGTTTGTGATTTCCTCGGTGATTTTTGCAGAAACAGACCTAATAACATTACAAAACGAAAAAACAACAATGAACTCCAAACAACAAATTTCAACGATGTCATATTTGAAAAAGAAGAGTGCCTTAAAAATGTGACAATCAAGGTGACATTTTTAAGTAAAAAATTGTCACCTCAATCAATTATTGTTGAATGAATGGAACAAGCCAAATTAGTTACACTTGATAATTGATTTTAGATTTTTTTTATAAAAAACATAATTTCTTTAACCTTGTTTTTTTGATGCTGATTGTAGTAGTATAGGTTGATTAGATATAAGGAGAAATCATATTAGTGTTGTGATCCTTCAGTGTTTTGCCTTGGTTAAAACTACTTTTGTTTTTGGTTTGAAACTTGTAGCTTTATTAGGTAATGGAATGTAGAATGAAATTGAACTACAGCAAAAGTAAGACTTATTTTAGAGAGAGTTTTAACAAAATGTGTTACTACGACTGAAGCTGTCTTAAGACTGTCTTCTTGCTTCACTAGATCTCTTACAAATCGACCTTTACATCCCTTCTAAAACGTTTCTAAAACCTACATAATTACAACTGGAAAACCCTAAATAAATATTGGCAATAAATGACAGTCTGTTCGCCCAAAGAATGACCATTAAGGATATTTGGGAATTTTGGGGTTTATGGTGGACAAATGTTTAATTTATTTACATACAATATCTTTGGGTTCTTTAACAGAAAGTCTGGGTCATATAATAATATTGCTTTCGGCGACGGCGAGACATTATTTGGGAAAGTATTCGAGGGTCGTAAAAGGTACAATGTCATGATATTATGGAGGAATATGACATTAGACTGACTACAATAACATTACAAAACAACGAAAATAATACACTACAATAATAAACAAATGTCAAAAAGTTGTATTTATAACAGAGTGCCTAAGATTCAGAATGTGACAATTTTAAGTAAAAAAAAAAACAAAAATGCTGACAATTAAAATTAATCATTTTCAATTGTTAAATGAATGAAACAAGGCAAATTAAAAGTACCAGCATACATTTTTGCCCTAAATTGACATGAAATACAACGACCAACAACATGCAAAACAGACAAAAGACTACAACAAACAAATACCACCGGGTTCCTTGGGTACCTTTTTCCACTTGAAATACACAAAAAAAAAAACAAGGACTCACCACTTCTGAGACACAAAGTTGCAGTTTGCTCATCAACGTTTCGTTCGGCTCGTTTTCGATGTGAGCCAAATCGATGAGGTTCTTGTCGTATTTGAGGCACACACGACAAAAATTCGGCAAAGTAAACATCGTTCCAGCCAAGTTAATTCATTTAGTTTCACTGGAAATTTTAATTAAAAAAAAAAAATTACAAAAAAAAAACAACTCCGAAAACAACTGTCAACGGATGCGCCATATTTGACCACCATACCGGTAAATCGACAACTACTCGATTATTTTGCGTCTTTGTCTTACGCACGCAGTTGTCTATTTGAAATACTGCTCTTGAAGCACGTTGCCATTGAAACGAATGCAAAATAAACAAAAAACAACATTTTCATGTGTCACGCGTTGCCAACCTAAAAATAATACGGAACGGAACTGCAAGGAAATTTTTCAAATATTTTTTAACAATTATAATTAAAAATCATAGTAAACAGATTTTAAACGTATAAAAATGTTAATTTTTATTTATAGTTTTTATATTTGTTTGTTTTTAAAATGAATAATTCCTATATGAAACAAAGATAAAATATGTGGCTTTAATGAGAAAGAGTGAAACTGAAATAATAAATTGACTAAAGCAAAGGATAGCCTAGTTATATTTAATTACATACCACTATGACGTCAGTACAGATGCTCTCTGATGCTAGATTCGTTTGATTAGGAACCAATCAATTTGTGCGTCTGGTCTGTTATCCTTATTTCTTCTCACAGGCCTTTGGAAATCCCCTTTTTACCGAAATAATTTAGTTTTACCAAGTCAACTGCACTACACGCAAAAATTGAACTCTATTTATATAGTGCATTGATTTTATTTTAAAGTTTCCTTGAGAGCGGCTATTGGCATCCTAAATATAAACTTTAATCTTTCAAGCGAGAAAATATGAATGCGTTTGGAATTATCCGGGTTTGGTTGTTATTTGTTATCTAGCAGGTACTTTCTATTATCAAAATACCTGCTAGGTAACAACCAGACGTTTACCAGTTAGTACATAATTTGGCCCTAAGAGGGCAAGGTTCTACATCTACAGTATCAGTATTCTTCAGATCATCTACATTTCCCAACATTTGACTCTACTAACTCCTTTCTTTTTGTCATTACATAAACAACCCAGACAGGACACAAAGTCTTGAAGACGTCTTAGGTCTGCATCCTGCATTGTGTCTGAACATCTGAAGACCAAAAAGATGTTTAAAAGACGTCCATAAGATGTCAGTAAATTAACATCTTAAAGATCACTGATGAGCCACACACACTATAAATGTATTAGAAACAGATTCAAAGATTTCAAAGACGTCTCTAATATAGGGTTGCCAGATTTTCAAAATTGAAATAATGTTTCGCCGCAGGCGGAAATTTTTTTGAGGTGTTACGCCTTAATTTTGTCACATCTTATCATATACAGGGTGTCCCACAATCAGCGTTACAGGCCATAACTTTCTTATTTTTAGAAATAAAAATTTGAAAAAAAAAATTGACCAATGGCCAGTTTAGCTCTCTTCAAAAATATAAAAAAATCTTGCCCTGACAAAATCATCCCCTATTTACAACCCTTTAGTTTTTTTTTTTCAAATGGCATCCCTAATTTTATTTATTATTTTTGAGAAGTTCATGAAATTGTAAATTCAATGATGTGTGAAAAGTTTGTTTTTCCATGTTTCGTTGGAAAAAAAAATCAAAAATGAAAATAATAATAATGGGGTTCTATTTGAAAAAAAATGGCAAGAAATGTTTTTAGGGGATGAGTTTGTTAGGGAAGATTTTTTTAAAATGTGATTGCCTGTATAAGACTAAGGGTGGGACACCCATTTTTTTTCCCCCAAGAGACATGGAAAAACAAACTTTTTATACACCATACAAATTTGTAATTTCATAAGCTTCTCAAAAATAAAAAAAATAATAGGGGTGCCATTTGAAAAAAAAAAGTCAAGGGTTGTAAATAGGGGATGATTTTTTCAGGGGATGATTTTTTTATGTTTTTATGCTTAATTAGCCATTAATAATTTTTTTGGTTCAAATTTTTATTTTTAAAAATAAGAAAGTTATGGCCTGTAACGCTGATTTGTGGGACACCCTGTATAGAGTGTACGAAAAGTAACGGGACGGTCAATTGTCTCTGTAACCAGTGGTGCAATTTAAACAAATTCTTTTATTCAAGACGAATTCAAAAATTGTATGGACGTTGTTGCCAGATTTACCAATAATAGTTATTACAAGAGGAAAAGTTTTGTCGGCACTGGACTAGACAACTTATGCTTGGACCAAGTAAGTTGGCAGCCTGGGCTGGAACTCTGTAACGGATAGATATCGTTATCTCTATCGCTACGGCACTTGCTATCTTCTCCCTTTTCGAAATCAATAGAGAGGGGACGCCAGCAGAGATAGAGAAAATATCTTCAATCATTACAGAGTCACAGCCCAGTCTACTTATTTGGATGTTAGATGTTAGGACCTATCCTGGACTTGGATAAACAGTTAATACGAAAAAAGTGTCGTCCAAGTGAGGCGTGCGCAGCGTCCAAGACTCCAAGTATAGGTACTTGGACCGTGTCAACCGAACCTGGCTTAAATAAAGTGGAGCTTGGTAGAGGATTCTTGAAGCTCAAACTCCCTATGTACAATCTAGAGTCAGCATCACAACGAAGGTAGGATTGAGTAGTTCTGTCTTCGTTTGGAATTGGAAATAAAGGAAGATTCAAATAATATTACCAAAGTGCGCCCGCCTCTCGACGTTAAATCGTAAAGCTCCCTAGTTGCGTTGGGTTGCCAGATTTATAATGAAGTATTAAAATTAGGGTAAAAATAAATAGGGGCACCTAATTCAGAATTATATTTCATGTAATTTCTATTTTTGGGTTTGTTTAAGTGCGCGAGAGGTGGGAGGTTTAGTAAAAAAGCGGGAGACTCCCGCCTAAATCAAATCGGGAGGATTGGCAACCCTACTCTAATATAAGACATCTCGTCTGAGTGTCTTGGAAAAATGTCGTAGAGATGTTTTTTTTTTTAACAAACATTTACAAAACGTTCGGCTTTGTAAAATACGACGTCGACGTCTTTGAGACGTCTTTAAGATGTCCTTAAGACGTTTTGAAGCGCGGAGTTGGAGTGGAGTGAACAGAGCTAATGGAGTCACCCCTATTACGGTAAAAAGCAATACCTCAACCTTAACCCGAACGGCTGGAGTGCGAATGAAGTTACTTGGAGTGCACGGAGTGAGCAAGCCGAACCCACCTATGAATGTCGTTTGTGAAATTCTTTAAGATGCCTCTGTGCTATCGGGGTAATTGTAATTATTGGGGATGAAACGGATATCCAGACATTATCCGATATCCGGCCTGAATTAAATATTTGGCCGGATGCCGAACAGAAGCTCAATATCTACAAAAAGGAACAAAGAACTGAAAATTAAAATTATGTTAATCTTTAATACTCAAAATTAACAAGTGGTAAATTAAATTATGGTGAATAACGACCAAATTTTTAGAGTTTGCAGGCAAACTTACCAAAATTTTCAAATACCTACTACAGCCAATGAAGGTAAACGCAAAGAAATGAAAGTATTAGAGCCTCAGCAAACATTGATCGTGAATCGTGATAAAGCATCTGTAGAACCCAGGCCAAAAACAAGCCCAGGCTTGGTGAACTATATTCAAGTTTTTTATTTTCATCAGTATAAAATCCAGATAGCTCAAGCTCTAGAACTAGCAGACCTTCCAGCATGTTCACACCTTTTGATACGTGAAACTAATATTTTCAACATGAAGTGGTTCCAAGAACAACATATCCACAAAATTACTTGGATATATCATATCCAGACAAAACACAATGAACCAAATTGATATTCTAGGCTGCCGCAGCTAGAGGGGAGCCAATTAGATTTTGTCTACTATCTAATTATCGCCAACGTAAATAGTTTTAGCTTTGGTTTTAGGTAAATCATATCTCCGGGCCATGAGAATAACATTGTTATTGTCGAGAAAAAGGATGGCTCATCAAGATTATGCTTATTGAATCTACAAGATTTAAATTTAGAAATTAAAAGACCTGCATAATATGTACTTATTCCTACTCTTGAAGATAATAGTTGGAAGACTCAGTCACTCACAACTCATTTTTGTACTTTTGCCGCGCACTCTGGTTGTTATGTTTAGTCGAATGCCTTTCGGGCTCAATATGGAGCCAGAGTATTTTCAAGTTATAAATCAAAAAAAATTTGGAGAACTTAAGGATGTACAAGTGTATACATTGATGATCTGTTGATAGCTGCTGATTCTTCTAAGGAGCTTGATCAAATTTTGGATTCTGTCTTAGAAAGAGCTATTGCAAATGGAGTTATTGTTGATACATTTATCCTTGCTATTCAACCTACTCAGATAATCTATATTTTCGTTGTGTAGAACAACGAGATTTAATTTGCACCACGACTCAGTAAAGGATAAACAGCCTAGTTTTATCTACAAATATAAAATCAGCAAAAAAATCAACATTTTTACACTGCACTTTCAGCGAAACTACTTCTATGCTTCACTACACTACCACCAAATGCCTCACAGATAAAAATACTTCTTATTACAAGAGAATATATTATCTTGGCTGTTGATTATCTTCAATTGAGAACATTTATTTAGATGAAACTCATTTATTCTTGCTAAAAGAGATTTCATGTTCGGCATAAATTTACAGCCTTAGACAAGTCAAGACCTTCCACACATAGCAACCTTTCCTGTATGGCCTTGTCATGAATTCCTAAGAAAATTCTATCACGAACCATCTCATCGCCCAAAGCACCAAATTCACAGGATTGTGATACATTTCTTGACGTCTGGTCAAATCCTTGACCTTCTTGTTAATTCCTTACTATAAAATTTGAAACGCTTGAAAACTATATTTTTCCTAGGGCTACAATGATCTTCAAAAGCTACTCGACTGCGCCATGTTGTGTCCTTTTAGTATTAGTAATAATTGAAAGACGACATTTTATATTTAGTCTATTTTAAACTGAGATGTGTCGCAGGTAATATTACCAGCTCCAACAAGTTATATATTGAAAAAAAATCAAATATGTCTTTAAGACATCTCGTTGAAGACGTCTTTAGAATGTCTTTAGTTCCATAGTCTTTAGGCAGATGTTTTAAAGACGTCTTCAAGCTGCCTTGAGTTAGCAAAAAGAGTAACATCTAGAAGATATAAAGTTTCAAACAAATTTCGACTTATTTCCAGAATAAAACGGGCTCTGGCAGTGCACCGCCCCCACCGCCACCAATACACCGAGAAGACGCTAAAAAGGAAAAACATTCTGGCCACAATTTGGAGCCAGACTACGAAGTCATCGAATTTGGCCAGTATTCAAACGCACCGCCTTTGCACAAGAATATTCATCCAGCACAAAGTAAGAAACTTTTTCATTCTACTCCAAATGTTATCAAAGCTTTTCATGTGAATCCTTTCAACACTCTATGGTGATTGACAAATCAGTTAGATTTAATGTTTATCTACCATCTATCAGGTATTTTCATCCCTACTCCCTATAGCCCACCTTGTATCAGCAGCAAATATCCTGCTAACTTTCACAAAGTTGCTGAGAGACTTTATTATTATAGTAGACTCGAAATTTTCCACATCCTGGAAACATAAACTCTTATCGAGTCGATGTTTTTCTTAGAGTTCTTAAGTACATACCTACTATATATCCATCTTGACTTGATTTCAGCCTCAAAACATTGCCAACTATGCGGATCGACTTCCCCAAACGTCAGCGTCCACTGCGAACAGTGCAAACAGAATTTTTGCTTGTCTTGCGACGACATGTACCACAGACATCCCAAAAGGCAGAATCATGTCAGACGAGTAAGAATTAAATGGAAATTATTATGTAATAGAAACTAAATTGTTACTTATAAACATAGAGAATCGAAGAAAGAGGATTCCAGCCAATCAGGCCCCCATTGCCCCCCAAAGGCGAAGCCCCTCCGATTCCTGTGCCTCCGCCAAGAAGACGACGATCCGGCTCAGTAGGACCATCACCGTGCCCCTCACCGACACCCACCAGACAAAGTCAGGTAAGAAATTTCATTATATTATGTCGTTGCATGTTTTTCTTGCGAATTGGTGTGTCTCTAAACTCATTTTGTTTGAAAACACAACTAATATTTGATTTTAGTTACCTACAAAACTTTTTGTCAATATAAAACGAGAAGCGATAAAAAAATTATTTTCCAGGCACACTCCTCATTTACGATGCCGCGCAAAGACAACAGCTTCAGTTTAAAAGAAAAAATGAACAGTTTGAGAAGGGGGCTGACTTTAGGTAACAGGCCACTGCCTCCTACGCCTACCATTTGTAAGCAAAAATAAACTTACACTACTAGAATTCAATAGCTTAATATTTTTTTCTGAAGCTTCCAGATCCAATTCTCTAGTGTCTCATGAAGATTTCAGCCAGTTTCAACCACCCAGTCCTAGTCCAAGCCTTCAACAACGATACAGACAGCATCAGTTGGCAATGCGAGGCACTACTCCAAACTTACCAAGCACCGTATCCCAAGTAAGTTTTTGAATCAGCAATCACTATACAATAAAGTTTGTTTAGTCTTCCAGCAGAGATTCTTGGGAACAAGATCAATGGCAATTCAGAAACAGAGCTGATAGTGTATCAGGATCTGAAACTGGTACCAGCAGAATATCGAGAAAGCTCAGCAACACTTCTTGTCCACCGGTTGGAAGGAACTTGCCTCACAGCGCTTCAGTTTTCGATTTAAATAATCCCATGCCTCATCATCATCACGGAGGCTTTGTACCTGTACAACAGGTAAAAAAAACTCATTGTTTGATTAATTTATTGATTTTTGATTGTTGTAGGCCCATTCAATGGCCCAGCTCAACTATCCTTGTTGTCAAAACGCTTGGATGGAACAGCAACAGCCTTGTTGCTTCGATCCGGCTCACGGTAGCAACATGAGTTTGAATATGGCTCATGGTGGGTATCCGGGTAATCCTATGTGGATGGGTACCTGGCACGGACCGCCTCCTGGGATATATCCGTATGGATTACCGCCTGTTCACGGAAGGTAAATGGTCAGAGAGTATATGGCGTTTAACCAATTCAAATTAGTATTTATTCGCAATAACTTAAAACTCTTTATCCATTAGAAACTAATTTGGAGTATGATTTTGGAACTTGTATTTGTTTTTGGTGTAGATAAGTAGGTAATCCTAAGTTGAACCTTTTAAGTATCGTCTTAGCTGCTTCAACGCCTTTGTCTGGCAAGATATATTTTACTTCCTTTCTTTCCTACAGCGATGGTTTCCATACTCTTATTAGTCCTATTATAGCGCATATAGCTTTCTCTTATTTAGAATTTTCAATGCAAGCAGCTTTGGCAATGTCAGCCGCACCGCCAGATAATGCTCCCAGGGCACTGAGTCCAGCAAACAGAGATATGAGAGCAATTTATTTGAAAAGTGATTCCCGGCTCTTATGGCTATTACAGGGCTTATTCTCATTGCTCCTGTTATACAGAGACACGCGAGTCTTTGCACTTTTCCTAGGTTTTTCCTAGCTGTTACAAACTGGGTTCGACTATACCAGGCTACCGCTCCGTAGGTGATGATAGGTCTCACTATCATAGTATACATCCAGGGTTATAACCCCATGTTTTACCCGCAATGTTTTTGCAAACCATGAGTGCCGAAAATTGCTTTGTTTTTTGATTTTTCTACATGTCGGTTCCAGAGAAGTTTAGAATCTAGGGTTATTCCTAGGAATTTAACATTTTTTTTCCAATTAAGTCTGCTTCCATCGGGGCGAATGTTTCTCAGGTTTGGTTCTTTTGTAAATGTTACCAGTGTGGTTTTTGCTGAGTTTAGATCCAGCCCCACTGTCTGACACCATTTTTTCGTGGTTCAAAATGTTTTTTCTATAAGTTCGCAGAGTATTGCTTCGTATTTGCCTCTGGCCATGATGACAATATCATCGGCAAAGCAGATGAAGCCCTGCTGATCGGTCGATTACTACCATTCCTCTAATAACCCTTTTTTATAACTTTTAAAAGCTCCCTCAGTGTTGTCAGATCTCAAATTTAAAATTATCGGGATTTGCGAACAAAATTATCAGATTCCAAGAAAAACTACCAGAAAAAGTTCTAGCTGGAACTCTGGCAATTGTAGTTCTCAATAAGAACTTCAAAAAAGGTTATTCAAGACTTCGAGCCCAAGGGCTTCGTTTTCAAGATAATCGGCTTTGAAACTTCTGCAAAATTTGAGACAAAGTTTTAACTTTGAGCCTCAATATCTTCAAAAGTATTTGAGATATAGAGTTGAATCTTATTTTATCTTGAAGATTATTTAATTCTGATTCAGAATATATAATTTTACATTATATTTGTTACAATAATAACCGAGTATAACGGCAATTTTGTGAAAGAATGTCAGATTATTGAAATTTTTTGAGCCCAAAAATTGCAAATATTGTTTTTATTTTTTTACAAGTCTTAAAACTCTAAAAACAAAGTTGCGTAAATGCTTTTCCACTAATTTTCACCTCCTCTTTTGATTAGTGAAGTCAAAAATTGCAAAATCCAAGAATTTAAAAATTCGAACTTTTCCAAAGGGGTATTCATGGAAATTGGATTTTCAAATATTTCAATTGCTTGTATTTTGGAAACCAGTGGAGCTATTGGCATGAGTCTTTTGCCCAATTGTAGCTCTTAATAAGGGCCACAAAAAAGGTTATTTAAGACTCCGAGCGCAAGGGCTTCGTTTTCAAGATAATCCGCCTGGAAGCTTTTGCAAAATTTGAGGTAAAGTTTCAACTTTGAGCCTCAATATCTTCACAATTATTCAAGATATAGAATTGAATCTTATTTTATCTTGAAGATAATTTAATTCTGATTCAGAATATATAATTTTACATCATATTTGTTACAATAATAACCGAGTAATCAGCAATTTTGTGAAAGAATGTCAGATTATTGAAATTTTTTGAGCCCAAAAATTGCAAATATTGTTTTTATTTTTTTACAAGTCTTAAAACCCTAAAAACAAAGTTGCGAAAATGCTTTTCCATTAATTTTTACCTCCTCTTTTGATTAGTAAAGTCAAAAATTGCAAAATCCAAAAATTTAAAAATTCGAACTTTTCCAAAGGAAATTGGATTTTAAAATATTTCAAATGCTTGTATTTTGGAAACCAGTGAAACTATTGGCATGAATTTTTTGCCCAATTGTAGCTCTTGATAAGGGCTACAAAAAAGGTTAGTTAAGACTCTGAGCCCAAGAGCTTCGTTTTCAAGATAATTCGGCTGAAAGCTTTTGCAAAATTTGAGGTAAAGTTTCAGCTTTGAGCCTCGATATCTTCAGAAGTATTTAGGATATAGAATTGAGTCTTATTTTATCTTGAAGATAATTTAATTCTGATTCAGAATATATATTTTTACATTTAGTTGTTACAATAATAACCGAGTAATCAGCAACTTTGTGAAAGAATGTCAGATTATTGAACTTTTTTGAGCCCAAAAATTGCAAAAATCGTTTTTATATTTTTACAAGGTTTTAAAACTCTAAAAGCAAAGTTACAAAAATGCTTTTCCACTAATTTTGATCTCCTCTTTTGATTGGTAAAGTCAAACATTGCAAAATTCAAAAATTTAAAAATTCGAATTTTTCCAAAGGGGTCGCATGGGAATTTGATTTTCAAATATGTATTTCAAAGGGCCATATTGTGGAAACTAGTAAAGTTATCGGCATGAAACTTTGGCTCAATCTGGGACTAGTGTTTGGTGCTCGCAATATATGGTTGATTGTTTTTTGGAAAACAGCAGGTGCGTTGACTAACCCAAATGGCATCCTGAGGTAACCGTACTGGCCATCTGGACTCACAAAAGTAGGTTTCTCTCTGAATCCCCTTTCCATTTATATCTGTGGTGATAGCCGCTTGCCATATCCAACGTAGTAAAGAAATTACAGCCTTTCAAAACTTCCAACTGATCGTCGAGCAAAAAAAAACCTCAGGTTTTTGCAATAAAACTAATTTAACTCTACAGAATTATAAAAATGCCACTCCTCAGGCAGTTCATATACCGATTCGAAAAAGTGTGCAAATGCATTTGTTATGGCGTCCGTCGGATCATTATATGCTATATTATTATAAACCGTTTCCATTGGTACCCCATTCTGATTCTTTTTGCTATTGACAAAATTCCAAAAGGCCTTCGGTTCCAGATTGATGCTGTTTTCAACATGTCCTTGGCGTTGCTCATACCCATATCTTGTTTGAGCTTTTACAATATTTTCCTTATATATTCCGTGGATTTTGCTTACAACTTGTTCGACGTATTATCACAGATTTATGGAGTCGATTTCTTTCCCGTACATTACGTACCAGATCAGTGGAGTACCAGGAAGTTTGTGAGTTGTGATTCTTTTCACATTTAGAAATTGCTGAGTCCATGCAACAATACATTTTCTCATAGAACTTTGACAAGCTAATATTAATGTCATCACAGTCGACAAGTTCTGACCATAGAGATGGAAGTAGTTCCCTTTAGTGAAATCATATACATATTTCTTTGTTAACTTTACCTCTTCCTTAGCAGATTCAGACGTCATGTGAAGACACAGGGCAGGGTGATATACAGGTCTGGCAAGTCAACATCTTACAGGCCAATTTTGATGCAATAGAATGAAATGTCTAGAAAAAATCTAAGGTTAAATAGAGAACGACAACGATTTCCCCTGTTCCATTTCCAGCATGGAGCGCTGAGAATGCTCCTAAAGTATCAAATTTCTACATGTACTATTACAATCTGTCCTTAGATACACAAACGATCAAAATTACTTTCAGTTACTTAGCACGCACAAACAAAAGAAAACCTGATACTACTTTATGACTCTTACTGGACAATAGTCAATCGCAAACTTTGTTTTGTCCGAGGCAAAACATAAATGAAAAAATCTTTTTGGTGGAGACTCACTTACTGCCAATTTTCTTGATTCTTAAAATCTTACTATCAAATCAACTGCTGGATGTTATCTATTCTTTTTTCTGATTGTAACCTGCTTAAATAGTACTCAATTCCCACCGGTCATTTAGCATTTCTCGAACCAATCCTCTTATTTGACCTCGTTTATCGAGTGATAAACGACATTGTTGTTTTCCAAGAATTGTTTTTTTTTTTTTAGTTTTTACTTAGGATATGATGCAACATCCGGCGGAAACACCGGTGTTGTAGTTATGACGCAATTAAATCACATGAGTATGGTCATTTCCGGTTTAAACGCGTCCTAATTTTATAATTTTTTATTGACTTTTTTTTATCGGAATGTCGCAAGAGTGTATTAATTAGGGGACATCGAACTCTGACATCCGGTCGCTTATTGCTTGTGATGGTGAAAAAATTGTTATGTAATTTGAGTTGAGCTTAGAAATTTCGTCATTTTTTATTTGTACTATTTTTATACGGAATTAGATGCTGGATTACTAAGAGATTTAATAAGTTGAGATTAAATTATCTTGCAACTGACGTAGGTACTTTTCTAATTAAAATGACTGCAAAATAGTATTTTAAGCACCAAGTTTAGTAAAGTAAGGTTTTACCAATTGAGTGTGGCCAGTTTTGTGTACGAGGGAGCGAAGCGAGCGTGTGCTCTAAGGCCTCACGAAATTGGTAAAATCCTTTGCTAACGCGTTGCTTATACTATTTTATCGCATTTTGTCTTCAAATCGTTAAAAATATGTTTTCACTTTTGACATGACATCAAAATAATTTTTGAAATGACATTCACAACAGATGGTGGTCTAGAAACCTCTAAAAATTATAGAAAAACTATCAAAAAGAACAGGTATTATACAGGTATTAGTTGCTACGTGGTAAAGTGTTGCTATTTTGGTAAAGTGGCACTTTACTAGTCTATGCACTTTACCACTCAATTTTGAATGCAGTTATGTATCACGTTACTGTCAAAAATGCGATAGTAATTGAGTTTATTTATATTTTCTGGGATTTTAGCAGTTTGAAATTTTTGGGGTCGTCAAAAATCCCAAAATCGTTCTTATATAGTTCTAAATAAATCAAAACGCTGTCATCACAGTTCGATTACGATTCTGAAAAAACAAAAACGCGTTTTATAACGTGCGCATATGCAGAATAATTCCGAACTAGTTTTGAGTGAAACCAAAACAAAGCTAAATGAGTCAGAATGGAATTAAGAGTACCTACCTATACTGGAAACATTCAAAAGACTCAAAAATGCATCAAAGACAAATCAAGACATTTACAAATAGAAAAAACACGCGCACATTCTCAGAAATATCAGTTTCCCATCTTTCTTCAAATTACTGGTAGTCTTGGTTGTCTTTGCCCCTTTTTTCTACGTCTGATGATAGAATTTAATTTTCAATTCCAGATCCTGTTCCCATTCTCGTCCAGCTTCGCCCACTCACAGCATAAAATCCCGCAAATCTTCAATGAGCAAAAAATCACGTAGAAAGTACCGCGACGAAACTTCGGACGAAGATTCCAACGATTTGGACGATAGACGATCGGTTTTCAGTCACACCGAAAGAAGATCAGTGGGAAGATGCGGAGTTCGAGACCGGACACCTTCAATGCCCAAAGAGACTTTGAATCGAAGACATTTGAGCGAAAGAGGTTCTGTAGGAGGCAGAAGTAGAACCAGTGTTGCAGCAGCTTCATCTAGCGAAACTGATGATGAACAAAGCCCTGATGAAGAAAATATCAACAAAGATCCAGCAATAATAATTGAAGAAGAGGAAACAAGTTCCAATAAAGAAGACCAAATCAAAATACCAGATTGTTCGTGGATTTGTGAACATTGCACTTTTGTCAATGAAGCAGGCACTAGAGTTTGCATTGTGTGCTGTAAAACACCTACAACTAAAGTAAAACTTGTTGATAAAACAACTAAGAAGATAGAAAGTTCTACTAAGAAAATTGAAAGTTTAAATAAAAATCCAAAGCCACCAGTGGGAAGGTCAATTAAACCAAAAACTAAAGTTGTGCAAAGTTTGAGCAGCGACGATTACAGCGCCAAAGACTACAGCGAAACTGAATCGATGCAAAAACTCAACATTTCTGAAGCTAAAAAAGCTACAGAAGAGAGCAAAGGTAGGAACATGAGAAAAATCAGTTTTTGGCCCGGAACAAAATTCACAGCCTCGTTTTACAAAAACAAATAGTTACCCTTTTAAAATTAGTGTATATTGTGTTATAGTGCTTTTTTACTAACTCAATTAGTGTTTGTGTTGTTTTATCAAATAGTGTTTAGTGTACCTTATTGTAGAAGCCGAGCTGCAAAATAATATAGAAAAAATTTCTACGGCATGCGGTACTTCGCCCCCAAAAGAAACCACTTTGACAATAAGTACTGGAACTTCACCTCCACCTCAAAGTATGTTCACACAGGTGAATACTAAAAATTTTTATGAGACATTATGATTATTGACCATTTTTATAGACCTATGAAGAAATACATCCAAAATCTATCCCCAAAAGTCCAAGTATAAGAGGCAGTAGACATCGCGATTTAAAAAGATCCCAATCCTTGCACACAAGCTCATCGAAACGAGGCTCGGAATGGTCGTTGCACCGGTCTTCAAGCCGACAAAGTTTTACTACAGATTCACAAGTAATTTTTGCCTTAATATTTCAACAATCACCAATCAATAATCACTTTTACTATAATATAGAGCCTTCCTGGTAGTAGAGAACCAAGTCCGATGCCCTACGACTACGAAGATGCAGCTTACATTGAAAAACCAAGACTACGCAAGCCTCAAACAGTGAGCCCAAGATTGTCAATGAGCATTATGGATCTTAGAAGGCCCGATTTGTACCACAGAAGGCCTCAGCAGGACTATTACAGGGTGAAGATTTTTTAGAAATCGAGTTTAGAGATGCACAATGTTGTTGTTTTGTAGTGGCATGATTGATTTGTGGTTTTTATATGTATCAAATTTTTGAAAAATTATGTTGATTTCAGGAGCCTCCAAGTCACCAACAGAGAAGCGAGTCTTTGCACCCTGAATTTTTCGATTCTGGCTTCGAACGAAGGGACGCCTATAAGAATCAGGGTATGGAGCTTGTGAAGTTGTTAAGGGTAAATTTGGAAAAACATGTTTTGGTGGTTTATTGTTTTTTTGATTTATTTTGCAGGAAGCTGAACAGTTTAAATATACTGCTGATGAAGTGCAGGCGGCCCTTTTACATTGCAAAGTAAGTGCAAATGGATTTAAATTTTTTCTACGTGTTGTGAGACCACAAATTCAGAAACTTGTCAACATGTTAAATTAGCGAACGGTGACTTTAATTTCTGAGTGAAGACACAGCTTAAAGTGGGTCCAATTTGTGGGTACAGAGTAAAACACAGAAATATTGTGGTCAATTTAAATAAAGTTTATTTTATTAAAATAAATAATGCTTGTTATTAGTTAGCAGACGCCGGTAATAAATAATCTTACAATAAATTTGTTAGATTTCTAATAAGCATTAATTGACTGTTGAGGAAAATTTATATGATTCCAAGTAAAAATTTTTATTTACAGTTTGACTCGACTCACACTCTTGCCTTCACAATTTCTGGCTGAACATAAAAAAACTCTACTTACATTTAATAATAATATATTTACTGCTGGCCACACCTTATTACATGGAATTCTTATTGGTCGAAGGAATTTACTTCACTTATAAATAATAATTAATAAAACTCGAATATTTTCGCGCTGTTATTTCACGTCGTGCTTCTTCTCTCGGTTAATTCGACAACTTTTTCACGCCGTAGTTCTGACTTTCTGGACACAGGATCTCGATTACTACTTGTTTCTTGATTACTCAACCGACACTGGTCTTTCACGCCGTAGTTCTGCCGGTTTACTCGCTCTTTCGCGAACACTGGTTTTCTCGAACACTGATTTTCTCCTGCCCAAAGTTGCCTTTTTATATCATTAGTCCCTCTATTGTCTTGAATTTTATTTATTTTTTTTGACCTCGATTTTTCATGGTTGAATCATCCGATCAATTAGTGTATTTGGTCCCCTTTTAATTGATTATCAAGGGCGTCGCTAAGTGGTTTGTCAAGTGGGTATCATCATATAGGCTCGTGCATGATTTATTGATCCTTTTAGAAAACTTTTGGCTCCTTTGGAATGTTAATTGTTGAAAGCACTTGAAAAAAAGGTCCATGAACTTCTGCTTTATTCACATTCCAATGTATTAGTCAATATAGAGTATCGGCTTTCAATTATTTCTGGATATCGATGTTCAGATAAAATTTAATTGAAGTTTCTGGTTGTGCTGTCTAAGTGATGATCTCTCTTGGGATGGTTCGTTGGTAAGTCCTTGTTATTCTTGATTAAAATTTCTGTGGTCACTACATAACCTAGACCCTACACACAACCATAGCAGTAAAGCTATGCTATAGCGACAAATTATTATCACAGACAAAGTCTTCAAGTTTTATCTTAAAGCTCAAATTGCTTTGAACTTGGGCAATCTCAGCAGGTAGCATGTTATGCAACTCAGTATGGAAAAGCTGCTTTGAAAAACTCCGTTTCATGCTTTGGAATATTTATGAGATCACTACGATGCTCAATCATATAAAATAAATATACTGGTATTCCAGTGCTTAAAATCTTATGAACTATAGGTTATACATGTGCATAAAACATTTCTGGGACACCCTGTATTTATAATAGTGTCGACACATAACTCAATCGGGGTAGGAAAAACGTGGTCGTCTTCCAAACTATCATAACAAAGTGGGATGTAGGCATGTTTGGATCGATTATGTACGTGTTATCGGAAATCAACCTTAGGGCAACCCTATACCTAGGTTCTCTTATCTTAAAGTTGAAATAACGAGTATTGTAACGTAACAAATTGGCGCCCAACGTTGGGCGCTGTGTAATTTCAGGTAAGACATCATACAGTGTTGACAGTTCACTACTTGACACATTTGGTGGACGATGTACTACTCTTACAGCTAGAAATAATTCATTACACTTGAAACCTGCCCAGACTGTCTCAATTCCATTGTTAAAATCTTCAAATACAACCACATTCCAACAAATCTCCCGATATCTCCAAACTTGTTGCACATTGATCGTACATTGATATGCACAGCATCAAGATATTTTCCTGTTATTTTCATCGTGCTAACTTGTTCCTTATCAGATACCTGAGGCGGTATAGTACTTATCGCTTGACTATTTTTAGCTAGGCATGAGGCTGAGGATCTACCTGTCCTTCTCTGTGTAGAGTCCTCTTTTTGTATAAAAACTGTGACACAAGTGAACCTAAAGCTATATTTCACGCTTCCAGGCCTCTCTAAAGTCCATCTGACGTATTCATGATGTATTATGACTTTCATTGAGGCATATTCAGGCATATTTTTGAGGGTATTTTGAAACATGCATTGTACACCTAACTCCTGGAAATTTATATTTCAGCATATCCTGGAGATCTTCAGGTTTGGTATATCCGGCTGTGATTTTGTGAAGTGTAATGGCACGAACCTCGATACTGCTCATACAGCTGCACCAGCATCTTCATTATGTCCTAAAGACGAATCGCCGCCTTCTCCTGTTTTGCACTTTTTTTCAATCAGAATTTCCAGCCTCTGATTGAGATTCAAGTGGGTTTGAATTAAGTTGCTGTAGCTGATTCATTTTTCTGAGCTTCCAGAATTGCTATGTTTACTTGATCTTTTTCTATGTTTCCATTTTGTGTTTTTTTACCTTTTCTTTTGAGGTTAGCGGCATATGTGGGAGTGGTAGACGTACCCGCTAATGGAAGTGCGAGCATTGAGTTATTCCCTGCTTTATTTTCATCTCTCTTTACTACATCGCTTCTAGAGAGAGAATTTTCTTTGTTGCCGGGACAGATGTGTGGAATTTGAACAACTGATTGACCTTTGTACTTACATTGTTCGCAATTTCTTGGAAAATTTCGAATATTATCTATTTCTTTTATGGAGATTAAGAAGATCAATATTTTCCATTAAAACGGAATTCTTTAATTGACTCTCTTGTACCAGCTGCCTTAACAGTACATTATCTGCAGACTAAACGTCGCCTATTGACTTCATGGTTTGTTTGTCTTTGCATAAGTTGATCCAAAAAACATTACCATTTTCGTGAATTAATTTGTACGCTGCGTCCTTAACGGAAACACACATCAAATGATACTTATTTTTACAGAAATAAAACACTGTATACCTTTACTGTTAACAATAAAATTGTCCGAGCCCTTGAAATATTCAATCACGTCCCTATATTTCTTAGGAGGTACTTACTTCCGTTATCAACATTATGGGAATTCAAGCATTTTCTAAAGAATTATTTTCCATTTGATTTTGCAATAATAAATATGGGTACCCAGTGGCACTTTATCCCCCCAGCCGCACCAAATTTTGGAGGAATATAAGAAGAAGGGGTCAAATCAATGAAATACCATATGAGGCGAGTGATTGGAGAGTGCATCCTGAGGAACTTACAACTCTGACATGCCAAATCGTAGCTGGTTTGAACTCGAGCGCCCACTTTGTCCGTTGACAGAAGATACAGAGATCAGTGTTATTGCTTTGCCACTTCCTAATAGGAAGAAAGTTGTTAGCACCAGCACAGCTGGACCATACAGAGATCAGCAGCTTATCCCAAAGATGGCGACTCATCAAAAAAATTAAGAAACCCCTTTGATATGCTTAGTGTACAGAATACCTTGCAAAACTACAGCATAGATAAAATGGAAAAGCCAAAGTAAAAACTTAATGACACTAAATTTTATAAGCGAAATCAGTGAATACAACGATAAATTACTGGATTTACATTTCAACAGAGGAACCACATACAATTTAACCTCACGAACGTATGTGCACTCTATCATTGAACAAATCAGTCAGAAGTTTCCAAGTACTTAATCTGAAGATTGTCGCATCCTCAATCACAACGACAAAGTTGAATGCCAATAAGACACACATTCTGATATTCGGATATTCCCCATTGCAGATGTTACTGAATTCGAGTTGATACGAGCCACACTTTAGAGTCTAGAAATGGAACCTATTGGACTCTGAACTTTCCAACAATCACAACACTCAAATATACTTTGAACTCCAAGAACAAGATTTGCATCAATGCATTCAGTCATATGATCACTACTTTATCTGCTCTCCAGTTTCAGTCAGAAACATAGAGACAAATCCGTCATGCATCATTGACGAAATTTATGAACGATTTGAACCAAGGCATTGCAAGATTCAAATGAACAATATTCAAAGGATCATATGGAAAAAGCTCCGCGCACCAAACACATGGATGTTCATTACGGGTTCCTCAACAACCATATTGTGACGGCCTGCGAGAAGATGTTGCAATAAATACAACAGGCATTATTCATATGTCTCAGGAGTGCATTATTAAAACAAAACAGAATACTTTAACTCCTAAACGAAGTAAAGTGTGTTTTTTTTTTAAAGATAAAAGTCAAAATGACATTATGTTGGCGATACAATGTAAAATTGTCAATGCTTTCAAATGTAGAAAAGGCTTGTGCTGCCAACATAGATACTAAATTTTTGACTTGGGGAATTATCTTTAAAAAAAAAAAAAGATTTTACTACCATTTTAGTACTGGGCAGCTACTCCAAAAGAGTTCCTATAGTAATAAATAGTACAGTCAGTGTGAAGCACCGTCAGAATCTACCCTTTGAGTCAGTTTTCAGACTATTGGCATTGCAGTATGGTATACGATAAAACCCATTCTGAAACACCAACAAATCAAACAGAACTAAAGAACGAATCGATGCGAAGACAATAAAGACGAGTTTGAACTACAGCCTCTGAGATCTTCTATTCTGCTCAATAAATCAGATTCAACCAGTGTACGGTGTCTCTTAATACTTGTAGTGACTACAGAAATTTTAATCAAGAATAACAAGGACTTACCAAACAACCATCCCAGGAGAGATCATCACTTAGACAGCACAACCGGAAACTTCAATTAAAATTTTTCTGAACATAGATATCCAGAAATTATTGAAAGCCGATACCCTATATTGACTAATATAATATTGGAATGTGAATAAAGCAAAAGTTCATGGACCTATTTTTTAAGTGCTTTCAACAATTAACCTTGCGTTCGGTATTTTGCTCAAAGAGCAGAGCGTGCTGAGCGGAGCCGTAATCACGTGACCAGCGAGCGAACAGAGCAGTTGAACGATGTATCGAAGTGCCAGAAATTTTAATAAACGAACGCGAATGAGCCTGCACCGAATACACTTTCTACATAAACGAACGGTAACTTCAAGCTCGGAGAACTCAGATCAAATTACCGAACGCACGGTAAGTAACATTCCAAAGAAGCCGAAAATTTTCTAAAGGATCAATAAATCATGCACGAGCCTATATGATGATACCCACTTAACAAACCACTTAGCGATGCCCTTGACAATTAATTAAAAGGAGACCAAATACACTAATTGATCGGATGATTCAATCACGAAAATTCGAGGTCAGAAATATAAAGAAAGTCAAGACAATGGAGGGACCAATGATATAAAAAGGCAACTTTGGCAGAAAAAAATCAGTGTTCGAAAAAGAGCGAGTAAACGGGCAGAGCTACGGCGTGAAAGACTGTTAGGTTGCAAATTGGGGCAAACCTAATTTATTAATTAATACACCAAAAGGTGGCTGAGGTACTCCAATAACCAACATCGAGCAAATGGAGCTTCGTTTTTAGGGTGTCCGACTAACTCTCAACAGCGGAGAGTGGTGTGGGTAAACATCGAAAAGGCGCCACCTGTTTTACTTCCCTGCAGTCAAACGAAGCTACCGATCATGAACTAAAAACAGGAAACACTCAATCCTAATTGGAAGCACTGCAAAAACCTAAATGGGCATAACAAAGTAAAGTGAAACGAAAGCGCTTAGAATTCACTCCGGTGCATGATTTTTATTTGCCAAAAGAATTATTTATAATATTTATTTTTAAATGGCAGCCAACAGCTGATAAGCACCAAATTTGAATTATTTATTTAATGACTTTTAAAAATAATGAAGAATCTATCAGTTAACTTAAATTAGACTGTGATAAAATTGGCCATAAATACAATACATAATCAATAAAAAAAAACTAAATATCTACTACCTTCCCAGAATTACGAAAAACAGTCTCAGTTCCCAAATCTTACCTTACATTCTGGTTCATTATGGTTATCAAAAGTTATAGTTAATTTCCTAAGTACATTCATTAAGTTCAAATAAGTGAAGGGTGATAATTAAGTACGGTTCACGCACCTTAAATCAATACCAAAATACTAAAAATACCGTCGTAAATAGATTCATTTTAACCTGGTGTACAGATCCACTAATTGCGGATTGTGAGCGTTATACGTATGTGTTTATACTAATTTGGACTACTTGGAATGTTACAGGAAATCAAAATAATATATGGTAAGTAAACGTAAAATTAACTTAACTTAAACCTAAAGGATTATAAGGTAATTTTTAAGACAGGTAGAGGTAATTCAGCTGGCTATAATATTGAAGAGTAGGTACAAGTGGTTGCAGGTGAAAGGCTCCAGCTCCCAAGGAGATGGTGAAACCCTTACAGACAGGGTGGATGACCGTGGATGGTTCCCAAAACGGCACAACAATACGCAAACCTGATTATATAGTTAGTTGATGGAATGATACTACTAGGAACCTCGTGGGGGACGATTGAGATTCACAGGCCCCAAAAGCTCCACAAGCAATTTATCAGGTTCAGGATTGAGCATCAGCAATTCAGCAATCAGGTGCCTTTGTGCATCTAACGACAGCAACAGCAGAAAGGGATGTAACGTTACCCAATATAAGAAAAGGCCTAAAAGAGAGAGTTCACACTTATACAATATTATCTTATCTCAAATCAATCTTATTTTCAGAGATCGCCAGAAGCTGTGGATATCTTCATGGAGAATAATTATTGTAACTGTTATGTGAAATATATATTAAAGATTTTATACTAGTAGTTCCCTTTTTTCAGTGCTAGGCAAATTCAGGCAATGACAGAGTAGTAAAAATCCAAAGGCAGCAAAAATATGTCGTAACTTGATTGACTGAAAATTCGACATGTAACAAGACCAGTGTCGGTTGAGTAATCAAGAAACAAGTAGTAATCGAGAATCGAGTGACCTGTGTCCAGAAAGTCAGAACTACGGCGTGAAAGAGTTGTCGAATTAACCGAGAGAAGAACCACAACGTGAATAAACAGCGCGAAAATATTTGATTTTTTTATTAATTGTTCATAATTAAAGTAAATTCCTGCGACTAATAAGATTTCTATGTATTTAGGTGTGGCCAGCAGTAAATATATTATTGTTAAATGTAAGTAGACTTTTTTTTATGTTCAGCCAGAAATTGTGAAGTCAAGAGTGTGAGACGACTCAAACTGTAAATTAAAATTTTACTTGGAATCATATAAATTTTCCTTAACAGTTAATTGATGCTTATTAGAGATTGAATAATTTTATTGTAAGATTATTTATGACCGATGCCTGTTATTTAATAACAAGCATTATTTATTTTAATAAAATAAACTTTATTCTAATAATTGATCACAATAATTCTGTGTTTTACTCTCCACCCGCAAATAGGACCTACTTTAAACTGTGTCTCCACTCAGAAACTAAAGTCACCGCTTGCCAATTCAACATCTTGTCAAGTTTCTGAATTTGGAGTCTCACATACTTTTACAATTTGCTGTGTCCTCCTTGGCCATAGCAAAGAATGAGGCTGCTCTTTGACAGTAAATATCCCAAAAAGTCCATACCATCCCGCTGCTTAACTCAAGCCATAGTGAAGCAAGTGTAATCTTCAGGCACACAGCCTGAACCATCTCAAATTCCGATAACAATAAAAATTTGAAACTTTGTGAGTCTATAGAAGAAGGTTAGGAATATCTTATATTTAGCAAAATCTCAAATTGATTTCTGTAAAATTGGAAAATATCCAAAAAAAAAATCAAGTTTGGTAAACATTCAAAGGAAAGAACGCATTATGAGATATTTGAATTTTTATGAACTTTTTCTCCACATAATGTTTTTTTTCCAGGATAAAAACCCCATAGAATGGCTGAAAGAACACTGGGACGCTATTATATCCAGCGTCCAGACGCTGGCAACCCAAATGGGCCGAGAAGGACCGATGAACATTGTCGGTACCGTCTCGGAAAAAGAAGCCAGAGACGCCTTAAGATCGAACAAAGGCGATTTGTGGCCTGCTGTCCAGGATTGCGTCGAACAACGACAAAGAAAGGTAAACACATAAACTGTTTATCTAATGGAAGTGTTAATTGTTTGATTTAGTACGCAGAATTGGCCAGTAGGGGTGAATTTGCCAGAGAAGATATAGTAACAGTCTTAACAATTAATCACGGTGACTTGGAGGCTGCTTATAGTGAATTGAGTAAAACTCAAATTAAACCGTTTTTAATGAGGATTTGGGGCCCGCCTACTGGGATTGAAAATGAGGCAGGTAACGAGGGGGCGACGCTGCATAAATTCAGGGGGAAAGGTAAGTAAAAAATACAATTCAAAACGATTTCCATACAAATTAAAATTTAAGATGTTTTAAGTGAAGAGGAAAAACAATTAAAATCCAAAGCCAAAGCGGTAAGTCTCGATAGTGATAGTAAGTCTTCCCCTGAAAATGTAAGTAGCCCCACAAACATCAATCAAGAAGATAAGCATCCTAATTACCAAAAAATAACCAAAGTAGAACCTCATCAAATAGTTTTTACGCAACCAGAAGTGCCCCAAAGCCCTAAAGTTTATGTAGAAAAAAGCAGCACAGTAATCCAAGTTGTAGACAGTGTCGGTTTCGATTCAGCAAACTTGCAAAGCCCTGCAGCTGATTCTAGTAGCTCAAGTGACGATATTTTTGGAGATGAACAATTCGAAGATGCTTGCGAAGATGATGAAATCAACCAAGCAGGTTCAAGTTTACCTGAACCCAAAAGAAGTATTAGTAAAGTTGCTATTCAGTTGATCAACACACCTATTCAAGTTGTTGATCAAATATGGCCAAAAATGGCTGAGATAAAAGAAAGTACTGCCCAAATTATGCTTAAAAAACCTCAGAATGAGACTAATTGTGAACCTTTGAAGTTTGTCGAAAATAAAATTTATGAAAATTCCATGCTTATTGGTGTTGAAAAGACTGTAGTGGTCGACTCAAAGAATTTAAAAATACGTGAAGATATTCCTGAAAGTTCTGAGGAAGAGCAAATAGTTAGTGCTGATCCAATCATTATTGATGAAATAAAAGATGAGGTTATTGAAGATAATATTGTCAAGAAATGTGAAGATAGTGCTTCTTTTGAAGCAGTTGGACAAATGAGTATCAGTGAGATTGAGTATCATGATGCTGTAGAAATTGATGATGTTGTAGATGTAAATATTGAAACTCTAAGTCCTAGCGAAGAAGTTGCAGCAAAAACGAATATCAATGTTGTTATAAATGCTGAAGAAATAGAAGTCAAGTATCAAGATGCTGTAGAAGTTGAAATCGAAGAGGATTCTACAGCAAATGCTGACGATAATGATAAGGAAAAAGTCAGTATTTTGGATGTCACATCAAAAATTGATGAGGTAGTTGAAAATAATGATGCCAATATAGTCGACAAAGCTTCAACTACTAGTAATATAATAACTGATGGATCAAAACTTGATGAGGATTTCATTATAAATTCTGAAATATTAGAAATCGAGTATCATGATGCTGTAGATGTTGAAATCGACAACGATGCTACACCAAATGCTGAAAGATTTGCAGATGATACTGTAGCAGTTGAAGTCGAAGAAAATACTAAGGAAATCAATGAGGATGTTGCTACAATAACTGAAAGTGCTGATAAATCAAAATGTAATGAGGCCTTTGTTGTAAGTACTGAAGCAGCAAAAGTAGAAGAAAATTCTACAATCACTGAACAAGGACGAATCAAAAAATCTCCTACTCCTATCAGAGATGTAATTGTTGAAGAAATTGTTGCTATAGCCAGTGATAACGTAGCAACAAATAAAAATGAAGACATTAATAATAATCAAGCAGCAATACAAAATATAGAAGGAAAGTTGAATCAACAAGAAGAACCAATGGTGTCAAAAGTAAAATTAGATATTGTTGCCCAAGATAAAAGTTCCTTATTGCCTCCCAGCGGTGCTAAAAAACAGAAAAAATCCCGAAGAAAAGCTCGTCAAAAGCACAGAAAAGCCATATTAATAAGAACAGAAAGTACTACTAGCAGTGCAACTGAGTCCAGTGATCTATCTCCAACTATTGAAGAACCCAAATTCAACCTTGAAATGCCACCAGAACCTGAAGTGATCGATGATAGAGCCAGCCACAATAAGTTAGAAAGAAAGAAACCTTTAAAAAAAACTGACAGCCAAAAGTATTCCAAATACAAAAACATGCCAATAAAACCAATACCTTACTCCCCACTAGAAGAAAAACCCGAATTTGTATTATCAGAATCTGAAAAGCTTCTGCCAGAAGAAAAATCTCTACTCAAATCGACAACGAAAATACAAATGCCGCAAAACAACCAAGCACCCAAAAAGAAACCATCGAAAATTCCAATAATTTCCAGACAAAATTCCCTTAGCAAAGAACCAAAAAGTCCTTCATTGAAAAGCAGTACCAGCAGCAAAATACCGGTGAGATTGAAGAGTAAGAGTCCACCTAAAACTACTGCTGAAGAAAATTCTGAAGAGACACCAAGTAGCTCAAAACCTATTAAAAGCATTGCTCAATCTTCATTTAAAAGCTCATTTGAATCAAACGCTAGCTCAAAGAAAATGTCTTACACCAAAAGCTTGGATTACGACAGCGACAGCTCAGTTTCAGATAGTAATATCGAAGAATTATTGTCTGACAATGAGAATTTTGATGATTTTGGTGACGACAAGTGTGATTCAGATCAAAATAATCCAAGGGAAACATTGAATATTAACTTGAATCAAATCAGTAAAACAGTGAATCAGCTGACGTCAAATTTGGATAGAAAAAATAGCTATTCAATTGAAGAAACTTGCGAATCTGAAGATTACGAGTCGGAATCTGAAATTGAAGTGGATGAAACTGAAAGTAGTGAAGAAGAGTTTATTGGTGATAGTTTTAAAAATGAACCAATAATTATCAGTGAAGCTGAGGTAAAGAAAAATGTTATTTGAATTTTTATGCATTATCCAAATTGATCCAATATTTCTTATGGTAGAGAGAAAGTTGTGGGTTGAGGAGGACTTAGATAGTTTGGGTTAGTTAACTTGTAGCAGACAAAAATGAAGGGTGGGTTTCTGTCTGACTGTTACTCATAGTGAAAAGTGTTTTTCCATTCCCACAAAATTGATGTTAAATGTGGGGCAGGTATAGTACTGTGTTTCACCGGAGCTTGATTTTGCCTATCAGGTTTTCAGCTATCAGTGATAGCTGAAAACCTGCGCTTTTGTTGCGTAATCAACACAGGTTCAGTGTAAGTCGGTTTATCTAACGGTTTGCCTCGGGCGCCACCCTCAGGATTAAAGTGGTTGAGGGCCCACATGCATCAGGTAGCTTGTTACAGTGGAGAAACGGTAATCCAGGGGTCACAGACGCTTGGCCTGTGAAATTTTCGGAAAACCTTGGATTGGGGAAAAGAAATAGACAACAGTCGATAAATTTAAATAAATATAACACTCTGTATTATCCGAAAATATTTACAGGAAAACCCTTAATTAACCCTGTGAAAGAATGAACGGGGATGCGGGAGATTTTAATTTTTCACTCATGCGTGTTTTCTCTGCAAATTTCACTCGTCCTACGGACTCGTGAAATTATAGAAAACACGCAATCGTGAAAAATTATCGGTAATTTTGAAGCTCTCGTGGTATTATCCCCGAAAATCGGATGTTCTGTTTTCAGAATAACATAACTAACATAAGCCTTGTCTTGTATATGACATATGTCATGTCTTGGTATATGACAGAAAGCCTTAAGATGTGAGGTCCGAGACCAGCTCTAAATGCACAGCCTTGGTGGCTAAGCACACAAAAACACATAGATATGCTTTAATGAATTTTCGATTCCTCAATTTTGAATATTTAATTAAAAAGAAACCTGCATAATCTACGCTGGTGTGCAGGAAGGGTCTGGAAGTTTTGACTCTAGGGGTAAATCTCCCATAAGAGTGGTCAATGGTTAAGGGTTAAGTGTGTAGCAATCTACCCATTTGCGAATGATAGCCTTAACTGAAGATTTACCATGTAGGTATAGGCCAAAAATTTTGTCTTACGAAAGATAAGGGTAGAATGGACTCCAGGGTGGAAATTACTTTCATGTTCATGAGTAATGATCAAACGGGTGAAAGGATGGGTTTGGAGCAATGACATAGGATGCTTAGCGTGGTAATCAAGGTTTGAATATTCAAGCCGTCCACCGACTCACAAAATTCCGTGGGCGTCAATAAATGGGTTAAGGGCTTTTAGTTTATAGATTAACTAATGGGGTAATGCAGGAGTTTTGAAACTTGGTAGGCAAATATTATGTATATGACCTTAGCTACATACTTCATTTGCGACTTTGGCAAGCCGCCGCTATATTGAAAAATGGCGTCCAAAATCAGTTGTTTCCCAGTTTTTTGACCGTGTTTGTCTACCAGTACCTCCCAGACAAGAAAATTCTCTAAAAGTTTCATCGGAGGTATTTTTTGCTGTGGTCAGTATTTTCGGAGTTATGTTGATATATATTTAAAGGGGGTGTGACCCAAAAATGAAAGTTTAAGTGTAGAAAAATCTAAGAATAAATATTCAAACCGCATCTTGCTACGATGGTCCGTTTTCGAGATAGGGCGGTTTAAAGTTGCAACTAGGCGTTTGTGACGTCACACTGGATTTTCAGGGACAGTATTAACACCTGTGAGAATTCTCCAGAACAAAAGATAATTATCTCCTAGAGCGAATTGCAACCACTCAAAGTATAGGGTACGGTTCACTGACGAATGAACGACCAGAAGACTGCGATTTCAGCGGTTGTGACATCATAATTTCCTGCATAATTGATTTTCACAATGTTTTTTCTCGGAGACTATTTTGACTACAGGGCTGCGGTTTTCACGAGAGATCTTAGAATTTATTTCTTGATTTAAGTAGCTTAAGTCGTTTTTTAGGGTCACACCCCCTTTAAGGGGTTTCAGTAAAATTGTATTGTATAATGCTTCCTCACTAGCGTGCGTAATCAGCTGATCTGTTGATCTTTTTCACATAATCAGTAATTATTACTTATAGGTATAGTCTTTTTAAAGTCAGTTGTAACAAGATAAAAATAAATTATAACTGGTGGCTGACTAGTGGCAGTGCATTTCTTATGGCAATATTCAATCACCAGTCAGCCACCACTCGTTTCCATACCACCTTGACGTAGAATAGGTACCGGCCGGCGCCTTTTTTTGTTGTTATAGTTTTGCCATAGTAGGCCTTGTCCACCTTATTTATATGTTTAATAAACATTCATAGTTTTCTCCGCTTCGGTATTCAGGATGGGCCAGGTGTGCTTTCGTCAACAGTGGGTTTGTATGTGTTGTGCACCTCTTCTGTTTCCTCTTCATCGGAATCTGCGTCCCTGACATCAGACGTCGGCAGTTCGATCATAGCTCTGTTCCAACCCAGCAGAAAACCGTAATATTACTGTCAGGATTCTGAGGAAAACTTAAAATGTTTGCATAGAAACCAAAATTCTTATACAGAGTGGTTTTGAACCATTCTGGGACGGGTTTTTGAAGGGTTGAAACAAACCTCATATCGTCTAGGTCTTCGTCATCAAAGCCACTTAAAATGTTAGAAACGTTCTTGCAAGAATCTCCGTTACAGTACATGCAAATGACCGAACAATAATGCAAACCCCCCTGCAAACTGCATGCTGACGGAGCATCCTTTTTTGCATTTACAAGAAATACATTTGAGGAAGCACTTGTGGCTTCTCCACAAGATCTTTCATGGTTTTAACAGTTTGGAGCAGAATCTTTCGTTGTTTTAACAGGAGTGAGTCCGACCTTACTACTTTCCAATCTCCATTCTTCTGGATTTTTTTTAACGCCGTTCCTGGTCTGCACTTGATGATAGGTTCGGAATGCATGCTGTTGCACCGCTGGCTGCTGTGGGAAAAAGTAAAGCAAGATTAAATTTACCCACTCTTTGTCGTTGGTCTCGTAATCTGCTTGTAGCAAAACGCACTCAAGTACCTACTCGATTTAATTAGTTAGATGGTAAATAACGAGCGGTATATTGATGGTGTTTATTTCCTTGAGCTGCTACCTATAAAATTGTGGTGGGGTCTATTCGCAAAAGAGAGAAACAAACTATTGAGGTTTACTGAATTATATTTTATTGTACTTAAAAATGTTCCCATGCTTATAATGATTTATTCTTTTACTTTTTGTGGTTCCCATCCTTCACTAAGCATCATTTTGAACAGAACAATTACTATACTCGGATTCCTAGCCAACAAACACAATTATTTAATTCTTATTAGTTCGTTACTATAGCCTTTAAACTTCAACTGGACAATCCAATTCAAAATTCTTTAATAATTTCTACTCAAAATCGATACTTGTTAAGTGCATTATAAATTCCCACTTTAAACTCTTTGCAAAATTAATTATAATGTCATTTTACTCGAAGGCAATTAAAGTTATGCAATAATACAACGGTCGAAATTTGATCGTGGCGCCATCTAAGACAAAACTTCAACACCAAGCAGCAATTTTCGCTGCAATATGGTGACTGAGTGTCTAATCGGCCGACCAAAATTCAGTTCGTGGGAAAACCCAAAATAGGAAAACCTATTATCCACTGATGAGAAAATATTTGGTTTGATTTTCTATGCTTTTCTATCCATAGACGCGGTTCGACCTATCAGGTCTCATCAGTATGGCTAGGAAAAGCAAAGAAAACCAAACCAAGATTCGTGCCTGTAGGCAATATATACATAGTACAACGGTCGAAATTTGATCGTGGCGCCATTTAAGACAAAACTTCAACACCAAGCAGCAATTTTCGCTGCAATATGGTGACTGAAGGTCTATTCGGGTTTGGAAAAAGTACGGTTCTAGAACGGTCCAGAAGAATCGCACAGTTTATTATTGAAATTTGTGATAGTCGAGTCGTTGTTATTTTGTTGACCAATAAACTGGACGATTGTTTTGAACCGTCCTTTTTCCAAACCCGAATAGGCCTTGAGTGTCTAATCGGCCGACCAAAATTCAGTTCGTGGGAAAACCCAAAATAGGAAAACCTATTATCCATTGATGAGAAAATATTTGGTTTGATTTTCTATGCTTTTCCATCCATAGACGCGTTTCGACCTATCAGGTCTCATCAGTATGGCTAGGAAAAGCAAAGAAAACCAAACCAAGTTTCGTGCCTGTAGGCAATATATACATAGTACAACGGTCGAAATTTGATCGTGGCGCCATCTAAGACAAAACTTCAACACCAAGCAGCAATTTTCGCTGCAATATGGTGACTGAGTGTCTAATCGGCCGACCAAAATTCAGTTCGTGGGAAAACCCAAAATAGGAAAACCTATTATCCATTGATGCACATGCGCCACGATCAAATTTCGACCGTTGTACTATACTATGTATATATTGCCTACAGGCACGAAACTTGGTTTGGTTTTCTTTGCTTTTCCTAGCCATACTGATGAGACCTGATAGGTCGAAACGCGTCTATGGATGGAAAAGCATAGAAAATCAAACCAAATATTTTCTCATCAGTGGATAATAGGTTTTCCTATTTTGGGTTTTCCCACGAACTGAATTTTGGTCGGCCGATTAGACACTCAGTCACCATATTGCAGCGAAAATTGCTGCTTGGTGTTGAAGTTTTGTCTTAGATGGCGCCACGATCAAATTTCGACCGTTGTACTATGTATATATTGCCTACAGGCACGAAACTTGGTTTGGTTTTCTTTGCTTTTCCTAGCCATACTGATGAGACCTGATAGGTCGAAACGCGTCTATGGATGGAAAAGCATAGAAAATCAAACCAAATATTTTCTGATGCAATAATGTTCCATAGTCAAAACACTCGAGTTATTCATATTTACGCAATGAAGTTCCAAAGTTAATTCACTTCATACTCATTCATCATTTATAGTCAAAAATAAAACTTGTCAC